ACTGCTGGTGACCTCTTCTTGCAGTTAGTACCTGGGTTTTGCTTTGGAGATGTGCCCAAACAGAGAGTGTGCTGGGTCTGTTCTGCCCAGGGACTGGGTGAGCTTGTGGTCCTTCCCTCGCAGCCCTCTGGTTTCGTCAGGAGTCCTGGGCCTTGTAGCCACTTTTCCTGGAGTCTGTGGACCGGGCAAAAGAAGATGCGATGTCTGGCTCTCCATCATACAGTGCTGGGTGGGGTGAGCAGCATTTTGGCCAAGCCCTGAGACCAGGAGAAAGGAAACATTTGGAGGAGAGGCTGTAAAGAACCAGAGGAAGGGGAGGAGGAAGGACATACTGCGGCCATCAGGTCACGTGCTCCCAATGGGAAACAGCGGCGTTTGGGTCTGTCTGGTTTTAGGAATAAAGTCTTGCCTCCTCCCTGGAAACTTATGATTATGTGCAAAACATCTGCTCTCTTAGAAAGAATTTTCTTGCCCTCAATATCATAAGTAACACCTGGGTCTCTCCCCTGAATGTCCAAAAGATAGAAGACACCTACTGCTGGTGCAAGGCTGGTGGCCATGTGTCCTGCTGGTGGATCAGGCATGGAAGAGGACTGGTGGGCAATGGGGCTGCCCACTACCCTTGCCCCACACCGCTGTAAAGAGGTAAAATGGGAAATACGCAGAAGCAGTGGCACGAGGGGAGGAAGCAAAGGGGTTTTGATAAGAAGATTAACCAGGGAGCATGCAGATAGACACTGTCTAAAGTGACATGTTGAGAGAAGCTGAGGGCCACACCAACTTCTTACAACTGTGCAAGATGTTTCTAGCCAGGCTTTGAAAAGGGTACAGAGGAAATAGCTGGAATTTAACACTTGGCGTGCCTATATTCTATACCAAGAAGTAGCACTTTCCTCTTTGCTTGTAAAGGAAACAAGCCATCTTAAAACAAAGGTTTAAGTGACTGAAAAATCTTTTCCGGGCAAACTTTGTGGGTGTCTGGTAAGAGGCAAATGAACCATTTTGATAGCACAGCGTCTTCCCCCACTGTATTTTAAGAGGCATAGAGGCTGCTACTTTCAGGAAAAATTGCCTGAGGGAAATGACAAATAACTGATAGATTAAAAGGCTTATGTCAAAATCCTCCCTCGCTTTCTCCCAATTCAATGTCAAAGAGAGGTCAAAAATAGGGCTGGCACATTTTGAGGGTCGTAAGGACTTTGGATTTTGTCGCTTTGCCCTACAGGCAGCAGATTCAGGCTTCCAGTCAAGTGTTTCTAAAATTGATGTTGTATTGATGTCCATACAATTGTCCAAAGCACAAAATAGGAGACACTCAGGCAAGCAGGCAGATTTACAAACTGTCTGGCCCCTTTACATCATTTCCTCCTCATAACTCATCCTGCGTGTTGTACCTCTGACTTGCCCATCTCTGGCTTCCTTTAGATAAGGGAGAAATTCTTCTTGTGTCACATTAACTTCTTCAGCTTTATCGCCAATCTCTCAGATAAGGGGCTCACGTGAAGCAATCCTTGCCGTGCTCACATTCCAGTCTTCTAACAGCAGACCATGGAGCTTTCCCACCTTATAAGGATGAGTTTCACTGCTCATTTGAAAGGTGCTGCAATCGCTTTAAATGATTTCACAGCCTGAGTATTGCAGAAGGAAAGGTACCTGGTACCCGCCCTTCTGGATTAGCCAGCAACCTGGCATTCCTGGGGAGCCATTCTGTGCGCCTGAGCAAAAAGCATTTGGAAGGCTATATTACTTACATACTTCTATTTTTTGTAGGTAGATTTTTGTCCTGCTCCCAGCCTAAGCCAGTGGTGGCTGCAGTTAATGCAGCAAGTCAGAAAATTTATGCAGTGAATCAGGAATTTTCTTCATAGATGGGAATTCACTTTCCCCAAAGTCCGCTCTCCTCGCTGGTGGTTGAACTCCAGGCTCTGAGCGCATGTCTGCTACTGGTGCCTGAAAAACAAGCACACTAATGTGCTTCTACAGAGAAGAACCCCAAAGCATTTATTTTTTACTATGTGTGAAGAAAATTGGAATGTGAATGTATCAGCAAAATAAGCATTGTCATATAAAATGAAGCAGAGAAACCAGATGCTCTGTCTCCCTCTTTACGCAAAGCAAAAAGTAAGCGTCCCCAAAAACACCAAACGGTCCCTGCTGTGTGGAGACCGGGCTACCTGTTCAGACTTTAATGCAATAAAGTGGTCACTGTAAAATATACCAAATACGCAGTTCAGCCTTTTTTTTTTTTTTTTTTTTTTGCTTTCCTTGTGGTTTTTTTTGTTTGCTTGGAGGGGGGTTGTTTGTTTGTTTGTTTGTTTTTTCCCAGTTTTCAGGTTAGAAACTCCCTTCCTGGCTTTTTATTTGAACATCAGAGCTGCAACAGTGGGCAATGCCCTATAGACTGTTTCATCACAGGCCATGCTGCTCTCGCCAGGCTTCCTATTTCTCACAAGCCAGGGAAAGCTCAAGGGCAGCGCTGCGGAGGGCGACAGGCTCCTCTCCCACTGCTGGGTGGATGTCGGGCTGTGCGGTGCTGTCCTGAGGGAGCTCAGCTGGTCCCTCCTTTCCCCCCTCTGCGTTTTCCTTCCAGATCCACCTGTGTGAGGTTCCTCAGTAGGGCAGGCCAGGAAGGGCCAAGGACAGACCTCGGGGGTTACACGGAGTGGCAGGGAGACAGGAGGGTTATCACTGGGTGGGAGCGAGGGCGGATTGGAGAGGTTGGAGGCAAGTGTCCAACTCCAACTGCTTCAGCCAAGACCAACGCCAGGAGAAGAGGAGGTTATTTTTAATTAAACGAACAACAGAGAAGGACCCATGATATTGTTCTTGAATGGGAACTATTTAAAGGAATAAATCATCACCATGGAAACAGGGAGCCTTGCCAGCGCAAGGCAGGAAATTAAGTTCAGTGAGAGATACCCGAGGAATTTTCATCCATGATAATAGCAGTAACTGCTCATTTTGGAGTTGCACGTTAGGGCCAGGGGACCCCAAGTTGCCCTCCTGAGCCCACGGAGCATGAGGGAGTTGATCGACCCAGGCGGTTGTGGTGGGATGCAGCACTTCTGCAAGGTTACCCACCAGCACCACGTGCGCCTGAGGTGGGACGCGAGGAAGAACAGAGCCTGCAAGAGGGCTTTGGGAAGTAAAATTAACTACACAGGGATTACACCAAAATGAATCCCGAGGCCTTGAAAGCCTTGAAACGTGTTATCAGCCTGGCTGCTTTTCTAAGTCTTGATTAGATCCAAAGGACTGTTCTTTATCTAAGAGGCAAGGACAAGAGCTTAGCTGAAAGGCAACAATCCTTTCATCCCATTTAGGAGTTTCTTACATCTCCCACACTCATCCTACCACTATAGGCAAGATATGGATGCCCCACTCTTGTCTCTTGCAATTGCTAATCAAAAATGGGCCTCCTAATTGCATAGGATGGCTTATATACCTTACACAAACCTATTGGCATCTAGCCTTCCTCCCTGTGCTGTGAGGGATGTTGGCTCCTGAGTACATCTTTTCACTCGGTATGTTTTTGGCCTTTTTTGAGCCATTTCCATGCTCAATCTGGACAGTGTCATCTCCACTGCACTTGAAGTCAAGCAGGATATATAGGCAGCTGCCCCACATTGTTCTTTATTGGGTGCTTCTTCAATGCAATTCCAACTATGTCTGAGCCTGCAGACAGAACCAAAGTTGAAGGCATAGAAAACCCAGAAAAGAAAAATCCAATTATGCAAAACAAACTGGAGAAATGACAGCAGCAGTACTCCAGGTAGCAATATGGTGGCAAGAAGGCTTAGGGAAGCCTGAATGAGCAGCACCACCAACATGGGAGGAGCCAGCAGCCCCCAGCCTCACTTGAGAGCAAGTGTATCTGGTCTCCTTGACACTTATCTTAATATTTAATTTTGTGACAGGAAACTGTCCTGGGTTGAGTGAGTGGTGGAGTTTTTTGGTGGCAGGGGAGGGGGCTATCGGGGTGGCCCCCTGTGAGAAGCTTCTCGAAGCTCCCCCAGCTCCATGTCAGCTCCACTTCTGTTTGGAAAATTGAGCCAATCGGCTGCGCCTCTGCGATAACGTATTTAAGAAGGGACGTGGTGACGGGCAGGGGGACTGGTGAGGAGGAGTTGCTGCAGCTGCGTGAACATCAAGGTCAGTGGAGGAACGGAGGAAGAAAGGAGGGGGGAGGTGTGCCGGAGCAGAGACCCCCCTGTATCCTGTGGTGAGACGGCAGGGCGGCCCCCCCTGCCACCCATGGATATCTACGGTGGAGCAGACATTCATTTACGGCCTGTGGCTTCTGCTTGCCTGATCAAGGTTCTGTGCCCGAAGAAGGCCGGGGTCTCATGGGAAAAGGCAGCCCCGCTGCTGTAATTCAGCGCTGGGAGGATTGCAGCATGTGGGGGAGTCCCACGCCGGAGCAGCTCGGGAAGGGCTGCAGCCGTGGGAGGGAATCCAGTCGGAGGAAGTTAGTGACCCCTGACGGAGCAGTGTGGGGAACGCTGCGGCCCATGGGAGGAACTCATGTCGGAGAAAGTTTGTGGTGGACTGTCTGCTGTGAGAGGGGACCACGATGGAGCAGGGGGGAACAAGTTCCGGACACTCCCCTCACCGAAGATGAAGGAAGTGGCAGCGCTGACTGCACCCCCCATTCCCTGCCCCTGCGCCACTGGGGGAGGGGGTAGAGATATCGGGAGCAGAGCTGAGCCCGGGAAGAAGGGAGGGGTGGGGGGAAGGTGTTCTCAAGATGTGGCAATGCTTCTCACTGTCCTACTCTGTTACGTGTTGTTAGTGTCTGTAATACATGTATATTCTTTTTTTCTTCCCCTAACGAGTCTGCCTCTTGCTCGTGATCATAAAGGGGGATTTTTCCCCATCCCAGTCCTATCTCGAACCCCAAGCCTGGCTCTCTGTCCCTTCTCATTGCCGGAGGGGAAGGGAGAGAGAGCTGCTGCATTGTGGTTGGCTGCCAATCAGGCCCAAACCACGACAGTTTTTGGCGCCCAACGTGGGGCTTAAACCCTACGACCCTGAGATTAAGAGTCTCGTGCCCTACTGACTGAGCTAGCCGGGCTCAGTCTATCCATCACTCCTGCATGAAAACCAGTCTGCAGCGATGGCACTGGTGACCTCAGAAGTGACCTTGGTCTAAGTAGCCTTCATCTGCCTACGAGTCAGCCTGGAGGCTTGCTGTCCTGAGCACGTGTCTGAAGGCAGCTTGAAATTCATCTTGAGCAGCAGCTCAAAATCCATCTTGAGCAGCAGCTCTTGGGTGTGATGCAAAAACTTTCTCTGTGGTCAGCACTTTCATGGGATCTAATGCCAGTTGCAGATCCCGGGATTAGTCCTTGGTGGATTTCCTCCAGGTGAGCTGAGCAGAGCTGGGGAACCTGTTGCCTCTGAGAAGCAGCCGGTTTGTTAGGTGCCTAAATGTGGGGGGGGGGGGGGGGGGAATGTCCTTGACTTCAACAATCTCGTCGAGCATCTCCTCTCTTTTTATGGGACCAGCCACCCCACAAACACCCACACCAGAGCGCCTGTGTTGGTCCTTGGGGTAGCTGGGCTGTGGTTGCCAGCCCCAAGCCAAGAAGGCAGCAGACCAGACGGAGGCTAATATTACTCTTCCCAGAGGTTCAGTAGGTCACTGCTTCATCCTGTGAGCGACTCCAGATTTCAGGGCAGTGAGAGAATTGTTTATATTGGCTACTTGTACGAATGCTGAAAAAAAAAAAAAAGAGTATTATGGGACTTCTGTTCTTTAATTCCAAAAAGAAATCAAACATGTCTAGACTGTTGCATGTATGTGGCTTTCTTCCAGGCTTCTCCCACCTGGAGCAATAAGCAGGCTGGAAATTCTCCACAAAAGAGTTTTCAACACCCATTTAAAAATGCTCTCACCCCGTGCACGCTAGCTGGTATCGACCAGCCAAATCCTATTAGGAGGCAACATCAGATGGGAAAAAAGCTTTCAGGCGCAGGTCACAGAAAGCCTCTGTGGTTTCCTCCCTCCCTTTGCACAGAGGGGGACTGAGGAACTGGCTGGCAGGTCGCCCACGGCCCGGGCCCGGGCAGCACAGGGGGATGTGGGGAGGCTGTGGGGACAGCGGCCACGCACCCACCCCATGGGACACGCGCTGCCCTCCCTCCTCCCACCGCAGACCCGTCCCGAGGGACTCACCCCTGCGTCAGACAATGTGAAACAGGGCTGCAGTTCAGGCATGGGGGGGGGTTTGTTGTTGTTATCCGGTGAACTTCGAAATTGGTGCTGACAAGAGATGTCAGAGCTGGTTGTGGAGAAAGACATTTTCCCCTGAGCTAGGAAACTGCCCTAGTTTAGATTTCATTCACATCAGTTCACCGAGGAGCCGCGATGGCAGAGGAGGGGGAGGACCAGCAGTCGGGGAGCGGGTGCTCTGCCCTGGCAGCCTATCCAGCCTCTCCTCTTTGATAAGGCTGACAGCCAGGGAGGTAGGAGGGTTGTGGGAAACAATTAGCAGAAGAGACAAGGGAATTGCCATGCTGATTGAAGCCTGAGGTCTACCTCATCTGGCAGCAGCCCCGGCGAGGCGGTTCAGAGGGAAGTGGAGAATCGTGTGGTCAGGCAGGCGCAAGACTGTCAGGTACCTTCAGTCAGTCTTGGCCTTTTGTCCGGTTTCCAGAATCTCATAAACACTGAAGCTCAAGCTACCATGCCTTATGGTGTGTTCATCTTCTTGCCAAGGTTACCAGTCCCTGACTTTTCATTCTTTCCCATCTTATTGAGGGCAAGATCCTTCTTAACCCAGCACTGTAGACATTTGTGCAGCAGAGGCTGAGGTCAGACACGAAAATACCTGCATATCCAGTCAGAGAGGGGAACAACCACAGGAGCTGGCTCCAGAAAGCTGCAGGGCCCCGCCCCATCCCCTCCCTTTTCTTAGCAGATCTGTAGAGCTACCTTCAACTGGTTTCCCTGCAGGTCCTTAACTCAAAGTCTTAATGCTTTGCCACCATCACCAGCATCCAGCCTTTCCAGAGCTGCCAGGGGCATGGGTAGAGGGTTTAGCCCCGCGTGGAGAAGAGGCAGTGGCTTTCGCACTTCTCTAGTCCAAAAAAAGTCCAGATCATGTAACTTTCTGGACATGATGCAAAAGACAAATATTTGAGAGAGGTTTGGAGAGATCTGCTGCCACAATGGTGAAGAGCTTCTGAACTCAGACAGCAAGTTTAGTCTCTGTGTGAAATATTGCTTAGCGCTGGTGGAATGTCACTACACAGCAGCAGGGTGTAAGTAGGTCTAGATCATCAGACAGGAATCTTTTTAAAGCTATAAAACTTGAAATAAACAGAGACCTGGGGTCAGACTGGGCCAGTTCCCCAGGGCTGGGGTCTGTGAAAGAAGAGCCCCCTGCTCAGGAGGGGGGTGCTGGGCCCGTCTGCTGGCAACCTGCTCTGCCTGACTCCGCATGGAGCTGGGGTTGGTCTGCACGGCTGAGACACCAGCCCCACAGGCAGGCTGGGCAGCCCTGGTCCTGCACATACACTTTACGGAGCTGCTAGCAGCTTTTCACAAGGCATAGAGGCAGAGGGGATCCCTACCTGGCGTTTTTTGACTATGTGCGCTGCAGGCAGGTGAGGAGAGGGGCTTGGACTGTGCCCACGTTCATTGCCCTGAGTCCCCCTCCACCAGACGAGGGCTGCCCCCGCCGTGCTTCACCACCAACCCACAAGTCCCCAGGCTCAACCCTTGGCCAGCGATGTTTTATTTCCCAAGAGAGTCTGTGTGCTCCAGCCTGAGCGCAGAGCCCTGTACCTCCCGGCCGGGTGCGGTGGCCGGCACCGCGGCACGCAGGCTGCGGAGCGCCGGGGTGGAAGGGGCTGCCCACACCGTGGGTCACAGCACCTGCCCGAATGCCAGCAGAGGTGTTGGGGGCAGGAGCCCCCACCCTGCCCGCCCCAGGGGAGGAGGGGACCGTCCCTGCCCGCCCGGCACCGCGCACAGGCTGGTGACGGTGCTGGTGGTCTGTGTCTCTCCCCCCTTTGACCTCCGGCGCTGCGTAAAAGCAGAAGCAGCCGCCCCTTGGCAGGCCCCAGCAGCGGGGGGAGCGGGGAGCCGTCCTCCCCAGCTACCTGTGACCGCAGGGTGGTCCGAGACCCACCGTGCCCCAGCTCCCTGCTGCTCCGGGGGTGCCCCCTGCCCGCCGGGGCCAGCGTGCTACTGACCACTGGGGACAGGCTGGCCGGGGCGGGAGGGAGGGACGGGAGCCCTTTCTCCCCCGCGGGATGCTCATACCTGTGCGTTTCCTCCTCCTATAGCAGGGCCAGCTCCTCTGCCGGGGTGGAGGCCACCCCAGTTTGGCAGCAGCTGGGATCTCTGACACAGGAGGAAGACACAGACCGCAGATGGGCTGTGTGGGAGCAGACGTTTCCCAGCTGGCGGAGCTGACAGCTCTTTGGCGGATGGATAACACTGCGGTTACAGATACGCTATGTCCAATCAGCTGCTCATGTATAATTCAAGATGTATGTGGTGACATGCTTTAAGCCCTATAGAAGAATCCAAGATATGTATGAGATTACCAAGTACTTACTTCGACGGGGTATCGTGGCCCACTGCCTCGGTGGCATCCTCATGCTCAGCACCAGCCGTATCCCCCATCCGGCACTGCTCCTCTGCCACAGTGATTTTCCATGGCTAGGAGCAACCTGGACAGAACAAGGCAAGGAGCGGGTAATTATCATCATCATCTAAAAATTACTTCTGTGGGGAGCTGAGTAATTTGATCAGATATGTCTATCTTCTACTGACTGCCCAGGGCCAAGCACACTGCTTTCTTCACCAGCAGGACATCGTCTTGTTAATATTACATGAGTTATAAAAGGATAAACGAGTGATACCTATCATTTGATTCCATTTCCTGCATGGAAAAAAAAAAAAATTAGATTTATTTAAGAAAAGAAGAACAACTGAAATATTATTCATCACAGAGTGCTCCACTGGGAAATCTTGCAGAGCAAAGGAGAAAAAGCCAAGCTCCAGAGTCAGCTCTTGGAGTTAAAGTAATAAAATTTCTCCAGGAACATTCATAGATCTCTCACTAATGCTAATTCAGCCTCTTCCTCTGTTTATGCAATGATGAATTCTCTGACTGATTAAATCAATTTCCCCATGATACTTTTCACAAGAAGGAAACTTAAATCAAGTACCTCAAGCTGCTACTGTCCAGAGATGAACCGATAACGAACTGTATAATAAACTTAGTGAACATCACCACAACTGTTTAGTGAATTATTTTACTATTTCTCAAAGAGTTTGAACGCTACTGTTGAAGCATAACACAGAATGGATTCTGCAGTCAAAGTATCTGTATAGCCTGTCCTTCCTCAGCCTGTTGCCATATAGAACCGGACGCTTCCATGGGTTATTCTCCAGAGAGCTGTCTGTGCTCATAGATTTGAAAACATCAATTAAAGATTGGACTAACAAGAAGTGGCACGATCTCAGTGCAGAGCTCCGAGCGGCCCCTCAGAAACAGGATTCAATGATGTTATGGTCAAATTTGCACCATTATCGGTCTCTTTCCCTTCTCCTCATCTGGCTATCATTTAGTACAGGCAAAACTCCTGCTGCCGCCTGGCAGAGCACGGGCTGAGCAGCACAAGGGGCAGGGGAACAGTGGAAAGAATCACAGCCTGCCTCAGAAAGAAAACGGGCTGAAAGGGGCTTTTCTCTTTGTACGCAAGGCAAATACAGCTTTCACATGAATCTGAAAAGCAGGCAACCAGACCCGGCAGCTGCAGGACCTTAGGAATGGCACGTGTGGCCTTAACGTAGCCTCTGATGGATGCATGCAGCCTCGTTACCTGAGATGACATTTGAAATGCTTTTTCAGGAGTTCCTCTCTTTACTTGCCTCTCCAGTACATCAGGCAGGTGCAGGTTCACCTCTGCAGAACATTATGCGTCGCACCATTAACTTCCAGCAGGAAACTGGGCTGTTTAATGCAAGATTTACAGGGACAGATGTCTGTAGTGCTGAAGCCTCTGTGGTACAGCTGCAGAAGAGTCAGCATCGCGCAGCCACCCAGCCACAGC